TCCATTTCCGGTCTATACCACAGAAGCGTATGTTTCTATACTACTAATGTCAATCAAGTAAAATTAAATGTTTATTAGGATCAAATCAAAAACATGAAACTCGAGTAAATAAAGGTGCGATTGAATCGCAGGTTTTGCGGTTTCAGAAAATAACATTCAAATCTCAATTAGAGGTCAAATAAAGAATCGACCTTGAATTACCTTGAGTGTTCGAAATGATGGTTGTTCAATCTGCATAAGCGGATGGTTCAAGTCTGAGTTTCCATTACGTCCCTGCAGTACAGACCGAACTCCCACATGTCTTAGAAAAATAAATTTCGCAAAAATAACCCCAACGGGGTTCCTACGGCGAGGTGGAGGTGGGTGATCTTTATGATCGGGTTCAAGTCTGAGGTCTGAAGCACTAACCGTTCGTGCGTTATGCCTTCATGAAGGCTTAAAATGAAAAAAACGCCCGGTACTTTCTCTTTTTGCTATTATTATTTAATATTATATATTATAGCTACTAGATGATAACTAATACAGTAGATATACAGTCAAGAGAAATGAGTTGAGTCTGAAGGTCATTCATTTATTTGACCTCTATTTCGTGTTAAGGTCGCTTTCTGAAAGTAAATTTTCAAAGAGTTGATTGAGCCATGTTGCTTTATTGAAACGTAAGGTTTGCTCGATTATTATTTGTGACAATTGAAATGATTCATATTCAATTACCAACAATGTAAGTATTTGTTAATTCAATTCAATTTTGAAACTTTTACTCCAAGCTTGGAGTGAAAATATTCTTGTCTAAACTGATTGCTACACTTGAATGGACAAGATGCTGACTGCATTAGTGAATGTAGACAGACTCATTTCATGTGGCAATAAACTTTCAATATTGGCCAATCTACTCAAGATTAAAATGAAAAGTTCTATACTGGTACTGAATTTCATTTCGATTTTCGTTTTCTATTTTACCTCAGATGTTCAAAAGAAATGCATTAAAATAATATAAGTTATTCATATAAGTTAACAAGCCCAGTTTTGTTGATTAACGTCATCGAACCTTTTCGTTTCACGTTTCGTTTGCATTTCAGCATCATTACAATTAATAACAACACATTTCCTTTTAAAATCTAGAAATGAATTGAAAACCTTTCATTTGTTTTCCCATTACTTCAGTAAATTGGTTAATTAAAGATCGATCTTATTATGAATGTAACATTGATCATTTCAAATGCTGTTTTTCAAAGTTTCATTACTTACCTTGAGTAAACTAATGATGTGACATTCATAGACAAACAGCTTTAATATCGATTGAAAACATTCATACAAGAACAAGTTGGTTAATTGATTTTCCGACTTGCAATGAACATGTAAATTAAATGAATTCACAACTGAAAGGAGCGACATAAAAGATTGTCAATTTGCCATCACTTTTTTGGTAAACTAAAAGTTGATGTTGAATGGCAACTTCAAGTGATTCAAGTCCCAAACTGGTAACCCAAATATTCAGGCAACTCTACTCCACTCTTCCCAGTGTTTTGGCAACAATTGAATAAAATTTGAAATCGCATCTTGAACCTCCTAATCAAAGGCAAACAATTTTCTGTTATGATTTGTTCAACATTTGGATCCTTTTTTTTGTGCCCATGTTTTCATTTTTATACTTATTAACCTCTTATGGTTTATTACAACAACTGCCCGAAGCAATTTAATAGAGTTTGTCTCATTGAAAGTTCAACTGACCCATTCCATATCATGTTGCTGTTTATCATTCCAATGGAAATCGATTGATTGATCAATGAGAGACAAAAAGATCTAAACATTACAAATAAAAGTTCATCTTTGCTCTTCTCCTGTTGTCATCAAAGATGAAGAATAATATTACAATATTATTATATTACAAAATTGACAGGGAACTTCAAGTTTCCATGGTTGGCATTGTCATGTAAATTAAATATTATCATTGATCAGTCAAAAGTAATTTGATAATTTGAATAATTGAAGGAGAAACGTGATTGAACGCGTCATTTGATTGATTTAAATATGAACACTTCTGAATATTTAAACCAAAGTGTCAAACAATTTTCAACTCTCAGATGATAATTTAATTTAACTAATTTAATTGTTTACAATTTAAGGATATTTATAGGTTGAATAGTAATTGCAGGTTGACACTTTGAATTTGATCAATTGATTTTGTGGTCATCAAATTGATTTCAATTGTTGGTTGGAACAGGTAAAAACTGTACATTCACTGAGGGTTAAATTGATTGTCTTCAAATCAGGTCAACATTGAAATGATTTCCATCAATGTCAAGGTAAACAGTTTCTTCTATAAGCCAGTAAGGGCCAAAATTTGGTCCTTTTTTAAGGTTAACCAGTTATGGTCAAAGCTTATCAATTCAACTTGCAATACTTCAATTACCTCAATTCACGTACAATTTCATCAATATCATCTTGAAACAACAGTAAAAAAGGGAAAAGTTACAATTGAAGCTGCTTTAGATTCAATGGATGAAACAATTTCCGTTTCTTGACTAAATTTTTTCATCCAAAATCTAATCAATTTGAAGTCATCAAAAGCATCTTCAAAATCAAGTTGCCATGAAACGTATCAATCTCTTGTTACAATAATAATGCAAAATGATCCCACAATTTACTTGGATGATTCAGATGAATCTCTGTAACCGCTTCAGTTTCAAAAAAACTGTTCAAGTGATAGTCAGTTGCTTTCGAACCGACCAAGTCAAATAACAGCGTATTTCGAGATTCATATTGGCCGCTAAACAGACTAAAACTTTTTTCGTTCCCTATTAGATGAGTTGAATGAAGTTTGAATGATTGACTAAAAATTATTAATGAAAGTTGACTAATCTATGAATCACATTAGGATGACGATCATTTTGATAGCATTTGAATGTTCTCAACTAATCAGGACACAATTACAAGGGATAAACAAGGAAAGGTTACTTTAGTGCTTCTTAATTGGCCTTTAGTCAATCACTAGAAGAAAATTTCGATTGCTTCAAAGCCACTCAAATACCAACTGGTTTCGGCATCTACAGTAAAATACCAAATACACTCGAGTAGGGTAAAATTATCTGAGAGTTATTGAGGTGTAACATTTGAAAATATTAATTTCCAATCAAATTGTTGATCAAAGGTATCAACATTTCCTACTCAACATTTAGTTCTTAGTTGGATTTAATCAAGCAAATCAAAAATTAACATTTAGATCGATATTATTTTCCAGCAAATTGTATGGTTATTTTTAATTGGAGCGAGATGAGCAGACTATCGATGGACAGTTTAGGTACTTGTCAACGATCTCTAATTAAGGCTGAGTTAGTCAATTTTGAATTGCCTCAAATTTAATTTCCATTTCTTCGATTATCAATCAACTTAATTCAATTTTCTTTCGTTGTATGTCAATAAAAAACTGGTCGAATCAGCTTTAACGAAATATTTAGCTTGATTTAATCTATTAAGAAAGATTGAATCTCATGAAATGTCCGACAAGAAGTGTGAATAAGCAATTTCAATGTATTCTCATTATCTGGTACTTTACTGTAGTTAAGCACAACATTTCAAATCTATAACAGTTAAATGAAATGTTTATTAGAATCAAATCAACTTTATTCATCAAAGTAAATGTTAAAGCGAGTCTGGTCAACAGCAAGTCACTTTATAATACAAATGGCTCAATAACGGTTGGTAAACTTTCACCTTGTTTACCTTTCATTTGAGTTGAATGGTTTATTCAGTCACAAAGTCAACTGTATCTGTTAATGTTGAATCTGTTTCAACTGAATCTACACTCAACACATCGTCTTAACCAAACCTTCAGATAGTCAACACAATCAGAGCAACAATGGAAACATTGAACCTTTGAAAAGACCCAAAAATTTAACCCAAAAATTTCAATCTCACATCGCCACTCTTGCCTTCACTTTGCTGGTAAATTTCAACCTTTTACATGATTAAATCGATTCTCACTTAATTTTGTGTTCAAAGCTTCCTGAAAGATTAAACCTCGATTAGTTTGTTTTAATTTAATTAAAAAATATTGAGCTACTTTAATGGCAATAATGTGTTTCTGTACAAGAAAAGGCTTGAATAAGTGTTTGTTAATGGGCAAGAAACACAAAAGTGTTTGAACCTAATAAAGCGTTAAAATTAGGCTTTCTTGCTGGGAACAGCAAGGAAAAAGGTTAACTTGTGGAAAGCAATTTAAATGGTAAAGTTAATCATTAATTGATTTGGTAATATAAATTAATAATTTGCTTGATAAATGGATGCTTTCAAATTGAGAAGAGAAGCAAAAAGTCACACTTTAATGATGTTATCCTGTTAGTTTGGCTTCAAAATTGAAATGGTTCAATGAAGGTAAAAATATGGTAAAGAAAAAAAGATTTTTTTGAAACGTCTTTTGATACTTAACTTTATCCTGATCATTTTCATCTTTTTCATCCTTTTTTGTTCAACTTTCATCTTGAACAGTCTTAAATCTTTCATCTTCAATCATATTATTCATATTTGAAAGAGGTGAAGGGAACGCAAAATTATGCAAATCAAGGTATTCATTTTAAAACATTATCATTGCCATTTGGATTAATGTCTTTTTATATGTACATTTATGTCAACTGATCAGTCTTATTCACTCACTTTTCTTGATACCTTTACCCCTTTCTTTTCACCTGGATTTAAAGCATTTGCAATTTTGAATTAAAAATTCATCTTTTAAATCATTCATGGCATCATAAAGTTGATTCACTTGACGATGAATACGGATTTATATCAATGAGGATTGGTAATAATGAAAAATGTAAATGATATTCAGTTCTTGATATTTACATTTTTGTGTGTGCGTTGAAACAAGATGACATTTAAACGGTTAAAACTAGTTTGATTAATGATTAAAGTTGATAATTGTTGATTGTAAAGAGTCGCTAGAATCACTTTTAATTGAAGGTAAAAAAATAAGTCAACTTTTCTCAGCTGATTAATGGTCTTACCTTGGATAAGGGATGAAATGATTGTTAATAAATAGATGATCATCTTGTGAGTGTGTTTACACTTAATGATTGAATCCAATTTTAAGGTTCTATGTTTGATTGATGACCAAAAAGATTAATAAATTTTATGTGAGGGTGATGGTGGTTCTGGTGGCGGTTTGGATGGTGAATCGGGATGATGATGGCAAGGTGGATGATGATGGTGATGATGGTTATCCTTTGAATTTTTCATTCAACTTTCATACTTTTGTATCCTAAGACAGTTGATTAACTTGTTTCAATCAGTGAAATTGGTTCCCGAGTGAAATCACTTTCCTCCGTAAACATTACCAATGTTAACTTTTAGATGATTTATTTTGCACTCCTTTGTGTTGTAACTTGTCAATCAATATCACTTGTAAATCCTTGAGATTAAGTTGATTAGTGATTTACAAATTATTAGAAAGATTTACATGGGAAAAATGGATGAAAAGCTAAAGGTAAATTGGGTGAAATATTGTGCTAAATGAGGTGACATTTGTAGGTGTAAATGAGCAAGTTGAAGCAAATTGATTAGTTGTGCTTTTGGTTGGACAAAATTTGGATTTTGATTTATTCTGTTTTTTTGTGTGTTTGTTATGGAGCACAATTAAAAGCACATTTAACTGACCATATGGTTAACAATGGGAAAAGGGTTGATATCAGCATTAACATGAGTTGACCATTTTAAGACAAAAAAGGGAAAAGTTTGAAATGAGTTTCAATTGAGCCAGAATCAAGTTGTAAACTAAACTTTTTTGTTTCCTCTCAGCTTCTTGTTTCTCATTTTTCCTCCCTTTGCTTAAGACTCAGCCTCACTCTTTGATAATTTTTGTATTGATCCATCATCATCATCCTGTGTAGGTAAAGATGCGCAAGAATTGAGAATCCAAGATAAAAGTTTAACAATCTCATTTCTTTATAATATAACCAATATCAACTGATTGAACAATCGTGCTTCCCATTGAAATTGACTCAATTTAAATTTAAAAACGAGTCTTGTCTCTTTTGCCTGTTTAAATCTTGTAAATGATAGGGTAACATCAACATTTTCAGATTTTCAACTGTAAATAGCGAGAAATCTGGTAAACCAGGGTTGATGGTTCGCCAAATGATATGTCTTATCCCTGAAAGAATAAGATTAATTTTTACAGACAATCATCTGGAAATGTTGAAATTGGTGAAGAAATAGGTTTCAAGTTGTTGAATATTTCCTTGAAAGAAGAAAAAATTTGCCCAACATTAGTTTGAAATATTTGCTTAAACACATTTTAAATTTTATAATGCGACTTTCACAAGGATAAACAGATGCTGATATCGATGATTAAACGGAATTGATAGGTAAGTGTTAAGATACGAAATAAGTACGAGCTGAAAAAGTAACATTTGAAATTCGAAAACTTAGATAATAATCCAAAATCAAGTTCAACAGCGTTGCACAGTGTTCTTCAATTGTTGTATTTTAAACATTTAAGCACATGGCTTATTGAAAAAAGTTAATTGCGACTGAATTAATGTATTGGAAGATTTATGTTATGGCAAACACGTCAGATCATGATGAAACTTTTTCAATAGAATTCTCGAGAGCTGAATGTGTCGGAAAAAATTTTAGTTTCGGCAAATACAGTTAAAATTTTTGCCTATAAATGGCTCGAAATACGCTAATATTCAAAGAGTATAACAAGAGAGAACACTTAATGTTAATTTTTATGCGTCTCAATATGCAAACATATTTAGAAATGATTAAGAGATTGAATCTTATCTCGGTTTTATGTATTTTACTGTTCATTCAAAATAAGAAGAGTACATTTTTTGATAAGTTAAAGGTTTAAGGGGTAAAATTGATAGATGGAATAACAAAAAGGTACTTTCATTGCTTAAATTGTGCTTTTTCAAAATAAATTAAATAAAATAAATAATATTTAATTTTCGCTCACATTTTTCCCATTTTCCCATTGGTTTTCCTTATCTTATCAGATTTTTTTCTTATAAAAAAGTACTCTTCTTATTTTGAATGCACAGTTTATTGCTTTAATCTTGACAGTAAAGTTTTCAAAGCTTAGTGGTATCAAATGAACTGCTTACTAAAAAAATTGAATATAAAAACATATTAAGAAATTATTAGGAAATTGAGTCTTTTCTTGCGTAAATAAATAGACTTTATACACAAAAATTAATTGCAACAAATACAAAAAATAATAGTGAATTTGAATACATAGAAACAAAATAAAAATATACAAAAATCAGAGTGGCTCACATTTATTTAAATCTTGACAGTGAAGCTTCCAAGTTTTCAAATGATAGTGATATCAAATCCATTGCTTGCTAAATTAATAGAATATGAAAATTTATTAAGAAATCATTAGGAAATTGAATCTATTCTTTTATTTTATGTATTTTATATTATTTCTTTCTTGACAGTGAAGCTTTCAAACCTTTTTATGCATCTCAATATACAAAAATATTTAGAAATCATAAGGAGATTGAATCTTATCTCGGTTTTTTGTATTTTATATTATTTTAATCTTGACAGTGAAGCTATGAAACCTTTTTATGCGTCTCAATATGCAAACATATTTAGAAATCATTAGGAAATTGAGTCTTTTCTGCAGTTTTATTGTATTTTATATTATTGAAATCTTGACAGTGAGTTTTCAAACCTTAGTTGTATCGGATGATTTGCTTAATGAATAAATAGAATATGAAAAAATATTAAGAAATCATTAGCAAATTGAGTCTTTTCTCCGGTTTTATTGTATTTTATATTATTTTTATCTTGACAGTGAAGCTTTCAAACCTTAGTTGTATCGGATTAAATGCTTAATTAATAAATAGAATGAATATGAAAACATATTAAGAAATCATTAGGAAATTGAATCTTATCTTTGGTTTTTTGTATTTTGAATTATTTTAATCTTGACAGTGAAGCTTTCAAAACTTTAATGCATCTCAATATGAAAACATATTTAGAAATCATTAGGAAATTGAGTCTTTTCTGCAGTTTTATTGTATTTTATATTATTGAAATCTTGACAGTGAAGTTTTCAAACTACGTGGTTACAAATGCATTGCTTGCTAAATAAATAGAGTATGAAAACATATTTAGAAATCATTAGGAAATTGAGTCTTTTCTGCAGTTTTATTGTATTTTATATTATTGAAATCTTGACAGTGAAGTTTTCAAACCTACGTGGTATCAAATGCATTGCTTGCTAAATAAATGGAATATGAAAAAAAATTAAGAAATCATTAGGAAATGGAGTCTTTTCTTGCGTAAATAAATAGACTACATATTATATTTACAAAAATCAATTGCAAAAAAATACAAAAAAGTAAAAAGTGAATTTTAATACATGAAAACAAAATAAAAATATTCAATAATCAAAATGGTGTACATTTATTTAAATCTTGACAGTGAAGCTTAACACCTTTTTATGCATCTCAATATGCAAAAATATTTAGAAATCATTAGGAAAGTGAATCTTTTCTTCTTTTTTGCTGTATTTTATATTATTTAAATCTTGACAGTGAAGCTTTTAAACCTTAGTGGTATCGGATGATTTGCTTAATAAATAAATGAAATATGAAAAAATATTAAGAAATCATTAGGAAATTGAGTCTTTTCTGCAGTTTTATTGTATTTTATATTATTGAAATCTTGACAGTGAAGCTTTTGAACCTTTTTATGCATCTCAATATGAAAATATATTGAGAAATCATTAGGGAATTGAGTCTTTTCTGCAGTTTTATTGTATTTTATATTATTGAAATCTTGACAGTGAAGCTTTTGAACCTTTTTATGCATCTCAATATGAAAATATATTGAGAAATCATCAGGAAATTGAATCTTATCTCGGTTTGATGTATATTACATTGTTTTAATCTTGACAGTGAAGTTTTCAAACCTAATTTATATTGGGTACTCTACCCTTGATCTTACTTTAGGTAAACGTTATAGATATACAAATAAAAAAGATTGTAAGAATTTATGAGTGTATTGAGTCTTTTTAGTTCGAACCAAACTAATATTTTAGTTGAAGTGATACAGTTTATCAATGCAAAAATACATGGAACTCTATTACAGCTTTAGAATCCGAAACCGGTAGAGTCGACTGTAATACAGTAAACTATTTGTATTTTATTTTGATTCACTGAATTTACTAGTGGCGCCATCGCGCCCTGCTGCTTTTCCCTATTTATCTATCTTATCGATGGCAACAGAGTGTAAAAAATGTTTTGGTAAGAACGGGACGCAAAAGTTGCGTCTGAAAGAGCGTTTTTTCAAAGAATAGTGTTTTGACTCAAATACAGGGTATAACTTAAGTTCGTGTAGGAGGCAAAAAAAGCATCATAGAAACTAATTTCAATTTGCTTTGATTGCTGGTTTGAGAAACTTATTTCCTTAAGCCCTCCTACTACACGAACTTTAGTTACACCCCGTAGACAAATCAAAAAGGGTCTCTGGAAGTGGGCTAAGCTTACTTGCCAAAAATTTCTTTACACCCTGTACATTGCCGTGATTTCTCTTGTTGTGTTCTTTTGTTTTTTGGAGTGCTGACATCTATGTGAACTACGGGGGGAAATAATTAAAATCTACGATTTAAACAATAAAATCCCTCTCCAATGACTCTTCCTAAAGGGAAAAAGGGGCTGAAGGGGAATCACTAGACTTTACTAATTGTTTAAACTGTAAAATTCAATTATTTCCCCCTGTAGTTCACATAGATGTCAGCACTCCAAAAAAACAAAAAACTCGGGGAAATAGTAAAAGGAAAGAGTAAAGGAAGGATCGTATAGCTTATCCAATTATAGTTGCAAGAACCACAAGAAATGCTATCGACATCGAAATCAATTAAAAATCATCAAGAGAAAAATCTTAAAAATAATTTGACTAAAGATAAAGTCAGGAAGTTAATTACTTGTGTTAAAATTTTTAATCACTTCACCCAAACACTTAATTGAAACTACACCTCAAAAAACGCGCTTCAGTTGCTAAGGAACATGCAAGCCATGTTATTTTAAATGAATATTTACACATTTTCTTCTGACTTCAAGATTGACTCAACCTTTGTAAGTGTATTTTAGATAAATCTTGTTTATATTGTTTAAAATATGTATTTAATGTACTATTTGGATAGTAATGGAAAAAGAGTCTATACTCTTGGAAAATTCGCCCCTGATGGCAAAATGACTCAATCTGCACATCCAGGTAAGTTCATTTCAAGCCACCGTCATTCACTTTGAAATTGATTGATTTTGTTTTCTCTTTTTAGCACGTTTCTCTCCTGAAGATAGATATTCACGAGAAAGAATCACAACAAAGAGGCGATTTGGACTTTTGGTTTTAAAGGAACCTGTAGCTATGAGTGTAGCCCAGCTTGGTTAAATTACTGCGTATTTTCATCGTGTTTAGTTTTTTTGGTCATCAAAGTTTAGTGTACCATCATTCAATCTCATGACGTTCAACTAATAAATTTCTCATATTTATACGACCCATGAAAATTGGACTTGATTTATTACAAATTACATTTTATTTATCTTTTTTAGTTTCATCTTCTTCATTATCGGACGAAGAGTATGGGTATAACATTGGTTTATATTTTGACAGCATTTGATTGATTCGATTAAAACTGCTGGTTTAACTAGGAAAGAAGCAAAAAATTGTTCACAAGTATTACATGCTAAGGTTCCATATTTCGGCATTATACGCTATCATCGGTAGATGTTGCATAATTCACATGTAAAACTTCCAGGAGAATTAATTAATGGTAACATTTGTATTTCGAGAATCTGATGAATCAATTGAGGTGCTTGGTTTTCTTGGTTAAACTTGGATACATTTTTATGAATCTAAATTGGGCTCTGGCCATTGGTTGGGATTCGATTTCAAATTGGACATTCTCGTGGTCGATTATTCATTAGATTATCTGTTTCTGTTCCAGTCACTAGTTCTTATTTCTATCGAATCCGCTTCTCTTTTCTGGTTAAAATAAAGATTCAAGTTCCCGTTTAGAAATTGTTGAAACCGGTGAATGTTGATTTTGTATTGGAACTGGTTGAAGACAGTAGTGATATTGAAGTTGATACAGATGATTCTGAAGATAGTGTTGATGATGATGAGTGCGAAGAATCTTGAATATTTGGCGAGAAATAAATTAGCTTGATTAATCAAAATAGAACGTAAAAAATTAAATATTGAATTTAACATTTTGAAATACGCGCGGAAAATTTGCTATGGTAACTGAGAATCTGTTGTTGTCAAAAGGCGCGATTGAGGAGAGAAAACATTTCTAATCTTGTTCACTTCATTCTGTTTTATTGTAATTCGTTAATCATTTTAGTTTATTCCCATTCTTAATTATAGTTAATTTCTATCTGTTTACATCATGGGTATTACAGGTTTAAGCAAGCTTATCGCTGACATATGTCCACAAGCTATAAAAGAAAGTGAAATGAAATCATATTTTGGTCGTACTGTTGCCATCGATGCCAGTATGTCAATCTACCAATTTATGATTGCTATCAGAAATCGTGACCAAATGATGAGCAATGATGAAGGTAACACAACTTCACATCTTGTTGGATTATTTTATAGGTAAGAAAAAACTCAAACCTTATTCAATGAATGCAGCTGACTGTATGTCTTTCTTTAATTTCAGAACAATAAAGCTTATGGCGGACGGTATTAAGCCAGTGTATGTCTTCGATGGTAAAGCTCCAGTTATGAAATCTGGTGAACTCGCTAAGAGAAGTGAAAAACGGGCTGAAGCTGAAGCTAAACTTAAAGAAGCAAAAGAGGCTGAAAATGTTGAGGAGATTGGTAAATTCAGTAAAAGACTCGTGCGAGTAACTCGCCAGCACAACGAAGAGTGTAAAAAACTTTTACAACTTCTTGGTATCCCAATAATTTGCGCTCCAAGTGAAGCAGAAGCGCAGTGTGCCCAGTTAGCTAAAGAAGGACTTGTTTATGGTGTTGCCACTGAAGACATGGATGGACTAACATTTGGATCCCCTAGACTTATTCGTCATCTTAGCTCAGGAAACACAGATAAATGTAAAGAATTCATTTTGGAACGAGTTTTGGAAGGTTTAAACATAACATATGACCAATTCGTTGATTTATGTATTCTCATGGGTTGTGATTACTGTGATAGTATTAAAGGTAAGTTCAATTTATACAAAAACATATCCACTACATCTACATCCTATTATCTTTTTCTCTTTAACTTTTAGGTATTGGAGGTAAAAAAGGCCTCGATCTCATCAAAGAACATGGTTCGATCGAAGGAATTTTAAAAAATAGATTCAAGATTACCGAGTTTATCGACCCAGAAATCGAATATAAAGAAAAGTTGCGCGATTTAGAAGCAAAAAAAGAGGAAAATAGCGAAAATGACGGAGAAAATGCAAATTCCAATGAAAAGGTAAAAGAAGAAAAGGACGAAGAAGATATTAAAAAAGAAATAAAAAGTGAAGAAGGTGAAAACGACGGAGAAAATGGTGAAAATGGTAAAAATGAAGAAAATGGAGAGAAAAAGCAAGATGAACTTGAAGTTGAAGTCAAGCAAGAAGAAGCTGACAGCTTTGTTGGCGATGAAGATGTTTCAGATGAAGAAAAAGAAAAAGAATTAAATGGAAGCGGCGATGAAAGCAAATCTAACACAAAGGTTTCAAAACCAAAAAAGAATAAAGAAAAGGGAAGTCGTGAGTCAGTACCTGAAGATTGGCTATTCAAAGGAGCTAGAAAACTATTTTTGCAACCAAATGTTTTAGCGAATCAATTTACGGAAAAAGACCTCAAATTCAAAGAAATCGATGAGGAAGGTTTGATAGAGTTTCTCTGTCGAGAGAATGGCTTCAGTGAAGAGAGAGTCAAATCTGGAATCAGGAGAGTTAAAGAATCCAAAGGAAAAAGCTCTCAGACCAGAATCGACTCTTTCTTCAAAGTACTTCCTGGAAAATCTCCTGTTAAAAAAGAGGACCCAGGGAAGAACTCAGGAAAAAGATCGGCACCTGCTGGTAAAAATACTTCCAACAAACGTGGTCGAAAACCTAAATAATTGTTTAATATTCAACATGTCCCTTTGATCTTTCATAGTTGAAGTTATTGAAACTTTTTCAATCAATCATTAATCTTTATTTTGTTTGGAAAAAGTTAACTCTTTAAAAAATAATTTGATATTTGATTATTCCAATCAGAATTACCTTTTCATTATAACATTTTTTGATTTTTCATTGTGTAAATAAACACCTTAACGATAAATCTTTTAAATCTAAAGATATTTTATGAAATAAATAAGTTCATTCTTTGGAAGTAAAATTCTTGGCGACTTGTATCTTTGAACTGTTAAGTTTAAAGTATTAATTATGGTTAGTCAGGGTCAGCTTAGCTAGCTTTGATCATTAGGCTTTCTTAGTCAATGGCTAGCTATCTGATGCCAGAGATAAAATGGAATATAAAAACTAAATCAAATCAACAATTTACATTAGTTACTTGTCTGTATATTTACTCTGCTTAACAAATATCCTGTATTTTCAATCGTTAACTTCAGTGTTCGTTTTCAGATTGTTGATAAAGTTAATTTGATTTAAGTAGAGTTAACCGAAGAGTGAGTTTTATTTATAGTCAATGCTTTTATGTTACTTTCCCCTAAAAAATGTTGCCGATGTCTTGTCTCTAGTGCTCGATTAACTTACCGCGTCAAATACGATAAATCTACTTTTAAATCCAAAAGTTTTTAATGAAGTAAGCAAAAATTTCATTCTTTGGAAGTAAAAAATTTGCCAACTTGTGTCATTTAACTACAATTTGCAAGATTTTCATTGTGTAAGCAACGCGAGTGTAGTCGCAATCAAGCGTCATAACCTGACATTGGGTCACCAGTGGATCTTAACCTGGAATGATATTTCTAACTAATCTGATTACGCCAAACATTATCCTTTGAAAGCTTTCAAAGCATGAATTAATCAGAGAAGCTACACATTTCTGTTTACCACCAAATCGAGATACACGTTAACACCACCAAGACATTAGATGTATCATACTTCACGTGTAGAACGTCCAGGGGAATCAATGATGATATTTGTATTTCAAGGATCCAATGAATCAATTGTAAAAAGTCAGGTGTTGGTAAATAAGGTGCGAGTGTGAATAAATTTGGTCTTCAGCTTCCAGAATTCCATCAATGACTAGCTGTATAATCATATAAATAAAGGTACAGTCAAATCTTCTGTCTTTAGATATTTAATTAAATAAGTTAAAAGTTCAGCCTCTAAATGCTGAATTTTGGCAAATCGAATCATTGAACCACCAATTGACAAGATTTTCATTTTGTCCTCGACAAGATTTCTCGAAATTTTTGCCTTTAATTTCCGAGCAAATATCACACATAACATCTTTGTAGAGATTTGGAATCCTCAAGACTGCAGAATAATTAGCTTTCCATGCGAAATACGAATTGTATCTCTCTTCATCCTTAGCCAGCGAACGTAAAAACATGGCTAAATATCGAACTGAACCAAAGTTGCGAACATTTATAACTGAATTATTGGGCAACAATCTATCATAATCGGCTCCACCCAATACCAATGGAATGACATATTCATCAAGTGGTTTTATCACCTTCTCTGTAAAATAATCATCACAAATGGAGTTTTCAAAAGCGAGATAAAATTTATAATCAGAGGCAATCATCTTCCAACAATCTTGATTATTGTAAGCACTATATTCCGAACATCGAAGCTTCCCACATTGGCCATAAATATCAATGGGAATATACTCGGATAATTGTCGAGCAAACTCATCTCGACCACTTGCAGCCCCACAATGCGAAACCATCCAAGCGATGTACTTTTTTTTACTTGAAACGTTTACTTTCTGCACTTTTTTAGGCTTGGTCAATCTTTCAAACCGTCCATAATCTAATACAAAATCAGAGTCTTGCCGATAGGTTGCCCAACAATCAATATGCTCCTGGAACTGTTCCAGCAGTTGGCGTCTTTTAGTGTATGTTGGAGATTCAAGATGATACCATATCCATATTTGACCAGCATATTTGGTTGGAAGATCATTTGCATCGAAATTTCTCCAGTGGAATATTACAATTTTTGCCTGTGGTAATAGAGCTGGATCACGAGTAATTAAACATCCACATGGTAAAACTGTTTCCGCAAGGCCAAGCCAACTTGGATCTTCATAATAATCATTCCAGAGCAATATCACTGGTAAACCATCAACAGTAGAAACAGACTTATTGGTATAAAAAACGGGGTGTGATAATTTAGTTTGATATAATCTTAAATCAGCTTTAAGGTAAAACAAAAAAACTAAGCAAAGAAAAGTGATTAAAATTAAGAACCTTCGCATCAAATTAGGCAATTTTAAAGAAAAGGCTTTGACGTGCATCACAGTTTAAGAGATAAATTATCTTGAGTAAAAAAGATGATTTGAATTTTACATATGAGTGAGAACCTTTCGTCATTTCTTATCTTTGATATCCTAAGCAATTATCAGAGTTGGCTTTGGACAGGGTAATCTTTCTTATCTTGTTACAACAAATTGTCAATTATCATAAATAAAAGAGTTTATTCAGTTATCGTTCGACAAGTATCGTTTTTATCTGTTCAAATTAACCCAAAAACACGAAGTGTCTAATAATTGTCTTATTGCCATAAACCAATTCTACTTAATTCTTTGGTAAAGAACAAACTTTGGTCACTAGAATCTAGTGACTAGATTGTGGTGCGAAGTCTAAATACTTTATTGCGGCAAACAAAAGAGAGCGCGTCTTTCGAATTAAGTTCAATGTATAATTTGATAATGTTTCTGAAATATGTAAATATTTAACATTCAAGCACATGGCTAATTGTTAACAATTAATTGTGATTGAATTCAATGAATAAAAACCTTTTCTCATTTTCCATAAAGCGATAATTTCACATTAGGAAGGATCAAAGAGTGAATAAAACCTTGTATAGCTTGTTCAATTAAAGTAACAAGAACCACAAGAAATGCTATCGATATCGAAATCAATTAAAATATTATCAAGAGAAAGATCATTAAAATAATTTGACTCATAAAGATAAAGTCAGGAAGTTAATTATGTTAAAATTCCTAATTACTTCACCCAAACACTTAACTACACCTTCAAAAGACGCGGTTTAGTTGCTAAGAAACATGAAAGCCATGTTATTTTTAAAAGAATATTTACACATTTTCTTGTGACTTCAAGATTGACTCAACTTTTGTAAGTGTATTTTAGATAAATCTTGTTTATATTGTTTAAAATATGTATTTAATGTACTATTTGGATAGTAATGGAAAAAGAGTCTATACTCTTTCAAAATTTGCTCCTGATGGCAAAATGACTCAATCTGCACATCCAGGTAAGTTCATTTCAAGCCACCGTCATTCACTTTGAAATTGATTGATTTTGTTTTCTCTTTTTAGCACGTTTCTCTCCTGAAGATAGATATTCACGAGAAAGAATCACAACAAAGAGACGATTTGGTCTTTTGGTTTTAAAGGAACCTGTAGCTATGAGTGTAGCCCAGCTTGGTTAAATTGCTGCGTATCTTCATCGTGTTTAGTTTTTTGGTCATCAAAGTTTATGTATCATCATTCAATCTCATGACGTTCAACTAATAAATTTCTCATATTTATACGACTCGTGAAAATTGGACTTGATTCATTACAAATTACATTTTATTTATCTTTTTTAGTTTCATCTTCTTCATTATCGGACGAAGAGTATGGGTATAACATTGGTTTATATTTTGACAGCATTTGATTGATTTCATCTGGAATCGTTATTGAATTGAGCCACCTTTTAATTTTACATGCTTTACATATATTAACTACCGGAACAATTGAATGGAAAGGTGTTTTTGGCAGGCAGGAAAAGTTATTTTGACAATAGACAACTTTAGGAGTTCTTATAAACCTCTTAATTGAAGCTTCACATTTTGAACAAAGACTTGTCCCATAAATAGTTTTACAACGAACTCCGGTCGCGATTTGGCAGCAAATTTTACAAACATCATTATCAAAATCCACCTCATTTTTAGAAGTTTTAGTTTTCACATAACTCAAGCTAGCAACTGTTGTATAAACACGGATGTAGTCGTAATCGTATCCTGGCATGTGTTCACCAGTAGATCTTAATCTGGGATAAAATTTCTTACGAATCTGATTACGCCAAACATCAATCTTTTGAAACCTTTCAAAGCATAACTTAATCCAACAAGCTTTACATTTCTGTTTACCACCAAATTGAGATACTTGGTCCTTTGGTACATCATTCCCGTCCAGACACTCACCTTTTGATTCACAAAAGTAAACTGCTGGTTTAGTTAGGAAAGAAGCAAAAAATTGTTCGCAAGGGGCACATGCTAAGGCTCCATATTTCGGCATTATACGCTTTCGCCATCGACGGACGTTGCATACTTCACATGTAAAATGTCCAGAGGTATTAATAATAATATTTGTATTTCGAGAGTCTATTTGCTCAGCTGAGGCTAAAGCAAAGTTTTTTGGTGCCATCAAACTAGGATGAATGAATCTGAAATGGGCTCTGGCTGCTGCTCTGGATTTAAATACTCGATGGCAAACTGGACATACTCGAGGTCGATTATTAATTTGATTATCTCCTTCTGTTTCAGTTTCAGTCTTATTCTTATCGGATGCGCTTCTTCTTCTTGGTGAAAGTAAAGAGTCAAGTTCCCGTCTAGAAATTGTTGGAATCGGTGAATGTGGATTCGGACTGGCATTTGAACTGCTGCTTGAACTTGTACTCGTACTTGTACTGGAACTCGTACTGGAACTTGTACTTGAACTTGTACCCGAACTTGTAGTTGAACTGGTCGAAGACTGGAGGGATGATGTTGAAACTGATGATGAAGTTGAATCTGAAGATAATGATGTAGATGATGGTGAGGATGAGGGTGAGGGTGCGGGTGAGGGAATCTTTGGAGGGGTTGTTGGCGTTTCATTGGAAGCTTCGGTGATAATTTGTGGTGGTTGGTTTTCAGGAATAACATAGTGTCGACGAGCTACTAATTCAGCTTGTACTCGAGATGTTGTTACAGATAAATGCCTTCCCTTTGCTGTTAGATGAGATTGTTGGTTATTAATTAGCTCGGATGAATCTGAATCTGAATCTTGATAATTCAGTTGTATCAACTGACAATCAGAGTTCGATGTTTCCTCATTCAATTCTGTTCTTCTTTCACTTACCGAAGCTCTTCTTTCCCTCAGTGTTAAACGCCTCTTTGTTAGTTTTCGTGATGAACGCATACGCTCGCCAGATCCAGGAATCCAGGATTCATCCTTTTCAACATCATCCGTATCACCGTCAGAAGAAGAAGCAGTTGAACAAACATCAACATATTCATCTGATTTAACTTTCTTTGACTTTTCTCTCTTCTGGGTAGAGTTGGTGTTCATCTTGGGCAAAGAGTCTAATCGGATAATTCTTGGTATTTTATAGTTTTTCATGGCACAAAAATGACTTTTCAAGGCCCATTCATTTTCAAATGAGCGTCCACAATCAGCATGTTGACATTTAAATCGTTTAAAACTAATCTGTAATTTTATTGGTGATAATTCTGGTTGTTCTGGTTGCTGGTGTACAAAGTTGCCTGATGATTGTGATGTGGATGGTAGTGAAGATACAGTTGATTGTGGAGAGTCAGATGGTGGTGGTTGATAAGGAGCGAGTTTCAGTATATTTTCGTCTTCAGCTTCCAGAATGCCATCAATAACAAGCTGTAGGTCACCCTCATGGTCCACTGTACTTTCCTCTTCTGTTATTGTAGACTCAGCTAGTTCTAGGCTTTCATGTTTGGCAAAGCAATTGTCCTTCTCTGATTTGCTGAAATAGGCAACGGAACACTTTTCACATTCAGTTAATCCATGAGTTACAGTTTGGTGAACAATGAGTTGAGTGAATTGGGTAGAGATGTATTTACAATCAAAATAACGACACTGAAACGTCATTCTACCAGCAATCGAGATCTTATCATAGGTTGGTGTAGATGATACCAATCTCGTTCCAGAAGTAGATTTTCTTGCAGATCGATGAGAACGGTATGGTTTGGCTCCATGACCACTTTTTTTATTTGGCACAATTGAATCCATTTTGGATTTAACTTCCTTGAAACTGGAAAACTTAGACAAATGCGGAGATGTCGTCTTTTCTGGCAAATCTTTTGTTATTTTCCTTATCATTTTAGTTTTAAGTGGTGGTGATTGGGACGAGGAGGAGGATGATGAAGAGGCAGTTGAACTTAAAGAGACGACCGACGAAGATGAACATGATGAATGGGAGATAGAGAGTAAATCCGATGATAATAACTCTGCTAAACTGGATGAAGATGGGTCAATAATGTTTGGTGAAAAACTATGAACTCGAGGCATGATTTAAATAAAAGAAACACTCGATTATGCAAAAAGTAAAATTAATAAACTAAACAAATTGGTCCATTATCTGCACAAAATAATGAAGTCAACAACAAAACTGAAATAAGAAAGTGTAAACAACTTATATCTTTATCTTTAAATATTGTCTGATTGATGATCATATGAGTGACCTTTGGCTGAGTCAATCTAAAATCACTAAGGTACTGACGCATCGAATGGCCATTTGACTTGTTATATGTTCACATGAAACTCTAGGGTCATCCCTTTAAACCCAACATTTACTGTCATTTTGTCTTCTCCAGTTTAATTAAAATATGACAATTTAAAAAGTAAACCATAAAATCTTTGATAGAATCTTCAGATTAACCTTAAAGTCGGCCAGCGATTAACCCACTACAATTGTATAGTAAATGTCGAGTCAATATTAAATGTAAACAATGTTATTGATAGGAAATCATTTACAAGCATAACAGCATTTCATTAGAGCTGATTAATGTTTGTAACTGTTTAGATACAAAACTAGATTAACAATTATCACATTTACTCATGTATTTCTTGAAATGATAAACATACAGATTTAAATGTCTCGGGAAGAGTCAAATAATAAGTTACAAATTAGATTTAACAAAAATGCAAAAATTGACTGTTTAGTTTTGCTGAGTCAATTTGCCCCAAAAATCATCAAGATTTTTACTTTCAGTTAACCCGCGAACAAATAATCCCCAAGAAGCAAGCTTTTCCATTGCCATTTCAAGATTATCATTTGGACCATCCATCGATGATTTGAACATTTCCATTTCACTTTTAAATTTATCCATAAATTCAATTGTCGTTCGCGACTGTTCAACATTATCCACTTTATCGGTTCTCTCGTCCCTTTCAACTGACTTGACAGACCAATCAACATCTATTGGTCTAGAGGAAGGAATCATTGGTATCAAGTCGTTTTCATTATTTGTCTTTGGTATATTGAAAGGATGTGTTGTTTTGGTTGGAAATAAATTGCGAGGATTCAATGGCTCTCTGTCAGGCCTTTTGGAACCCTCTTTCGGCATCAACATCGACCACCAGTTTTTAGGATCATCTTCCGTCATATTAGTTGAATCATCATCACTATCAGTGTTTATCATTGATCCGTTCATGAATTTACCAATAGCTCCAAAAAATTTGGATCGAGCATTATCCATGGCTCCTTTCATCCGATCAAAGATATTGGGTTTACGGTCATCGGTTTCATCTGGTCTTGCAATTAACGACTCTAACTGTTTACTTTTACCTTTGCCGCTCCGTTTTCTTAACCATTCATCCATTGTAATCAATCTTGCTAAAACAGCACTTTTGCTTTCTGAATCTAAATCTTGTGACTGTCCAATGTTATCATCAGCATTGTTGACTGATCGTATGACTCGTTTATTATCAGATTGTAAATTCATGTTGGCTTTTGCTTCATCATCAATTAGATGGTAATCCTCACTTGGGGCAACAGGACTCAACCTGGTCATTTTAGAACTGGTTGCGTTTTGATATTTTTTCACCAAATTGTTCCAAGCGTCTTTAATTCGCTCCTTGGTTTGATCCATTTGATTTTTTAAACGAGTTGCCAATGTTGAACTATTTACAGAAGCACTAATGTCCTCCTCTACTGTAGATGATGATTCGGTTAACTTGTCTTTTGTTGATTTGTCACGCATTCGCCTCATTTGACCCATCATATCCATAGCTATATTGGTTAACCTAGAGAACATTCCATGAATCATTGACATAAAACCACCATTTTGTTCAACTTCAACCTCATCATTGCTCACAGAGCCATACATCCATCCACTAAGGCGAGCTCGAATTACATCGATCATTGAATTCAACATTGCCATCATAGAGCCCTCGTCCATTTCTGGTACGGATGCCCATTGAATATCTGGGCTATCAGCTGATTCTGGTACATCTCCATCAACTGGCTTGGCTTCAGTACCTATTGATAGAGAAAGAAATCGGAAAATTAACAAATCAGATTAACAAGCCAAAGTCATGTCAAAACGCTTCGTAAATAGCTTTTAACTTACCAAAGTTGAAGGAAAAAAGTAATATGAAAATTAACGAAGAATATCTGACCAGCTTTAACATATTCACTGAATTATTTTATTGAAGATGAGCACAGACAAAGTACCTAAGCGAAAGATGAATAAGATGTGAATTTAAAATTAATAGAATGTTGACTGAAAGAGTTTTTACCATTGTTGATTTATTTCAGTGGCTTTCTTCACATGATTGGCTATTGCTGTTAATAATGCACGCAACTTACAGGCAATAACAGGTTTGAGCTCGAAATATTAAAATCCCATGTTCATTAACTAGAATTGAAAGAGTTAATGAAATGTGAAAAGACAATTTGACAATGGAATAATTAGCAAGCCTTTTCGCAATTCTTTTCCTTATTTTGATCATTGGATGTACGCTGACTAATTAAGCTTTTCTCCGAATCATAGATCCATTGTAGATTTTACAGAATCACTGATTGAATTTATTCTTGGAAGAAGAGTTCGCAAGGAGGAAACGCTGAATAAGGTAAATGGAAATAACAAGGTAAATAAAATTGGAAGATAAATGCTTTTTCTATAACCAGTCTTTTAATAACAATTGAAGCAACTTGTTAATTATATCATTTTGCCATAAAACATGAAGTGTACTTATATACAATTCATTTTTACACATCACCCAATTGAAAGTAAACATTTCTCTGAAAGATAGACCTTAAGAGTTAAATAATTTACATTGTACTACATTGGCGATGAATACATTGTAAAATACATTTACAGGTCAATATAAATTCATTGAGATGCTTTAAAGTAAATTGTATCAACAAAATAAATCAATTGATTTGTCAAGAATGATTTGTTTGAAATGATAATCTCTGAAAAAGGTTGAGGAAAATAGTTTCGTTCATTAAATTTTGAGTTGATTGGTTTCATAACCAAATTTTTTACACCCCATTGGCATACACATGCAGTTTCGATTAAATGAATTTTCAAATCAGCAGATTAAATTTTTCGTGCAGCTACTTGGTAATTAGTTTGATGAGAATATATTTTGAACAATAAGTTGATCAGTAAGTTCAAATTTCCATGCGTAGTATGAGAGTAATGATAAAATCTCTGTTTCTTCAGTCTTGCTTGATCCATGATCACATTGTATTTAAAGAGATATTAGTAAAATTGATTGGTCTCCAGAAATTAATGAAAATGGATAGATCCTAAATGAGTTTACGATGACCATCGACTAGGTCTGGTTCTAGTTGTGATCGCTCTGGGATAGGCTCGTTCTTGTTGAACCAAGGCATTAAGCGTGTTGTTTCTGAATACAAAAAAATAAAAAGTAATTAGAGTAATTGAACAAATGTAATTATTTATGATTCACCATGATTATTACCTGCTGTATCTGTTGTTATAATTATTGCGATAAGAGCTGACATCCATTCTGTACAAGGCATCAACGTAACTTTTTCTTTCAATTTCATGGCCTCTTGCCTCTTGAAAGGAATGAACTGCTGAGCTTGCAGACATTCGCAAATGATTCACCATGTACTGGCAAATCATGAAGCCTGTTCGATTGACTCCATGTGTGCAATGAACACCAATCAGTTGATTACGATTGTTTCGCATAAAGCTGCCAACGGTTCTATTGAATTCTACAACCTGTAGAGCGTCTGGAAGAGTTCCTTGGCCTTGCATCGCTATTTTACAGTAAATAGCACCAAAACGTGAAATAACTGTAGGACTGTAATATTTAGTGGTGTTAGTGAGATCAATAACAAGTCCAATATTGGGATGCTTTCTGAATACATCTTCAAATGAGAAACGTTCATTGCTTGGCAATCTGTCACTCGCATTATGAATAGGAACTTTGAAGGGGACAAAAGGAGTACCTTCGATCTGTTCACCACAGCGAGAAAATCGCAGCCATTTATCAAGAGAACGTTTATTTCTAGGGATAATTTAAATGAGAACAGTATAGTTAATAATGAACCATTACAGGCCATCATACAAATATAAGACAGTAATTACTCACTTAAACATTATGTCAAGGTAATATGGAGAGAGGAACACAAACAAGTAAACATAGGGTTAAAATTAAAATGACAATAAATTGTATTGCAATTGCGACAACAATTTTATTTACAACAGACAACAAAGCAATTTGATGGTGAAGATGAACGATAACAATGTTTCCGATGAAAAAAATGTCTTGACTAGAATTTGAAAGGATAACAAGCAAAACAATCCTAAGAACAGAAAAAAGCTAATAAAATAAAGCAATTGTCGAATCAAGAAAAGCTAATAAAGTTGATAAAGGGTTGAGATAAAGACCTAATAAAATTGAAAGAAAACAAATTATGCTTAAGGTTGAAATAAATAAAGATTTTATAAGAGTAAATATTATTTTTTACAGGATACATAAAAGTGTGACTTTTAGGCTTTTAAAAGCTATAAATTATTTATAATAAATGATATCCCAATAGATGGCGATGTTTATACTCTAAACGCGAAGTTGCTGCATGTCGACATCTATTGACATTAGTTTAATTATCGATTCGTTTGTGATTCACAAATTGTGATTGATTTGACAATTAAAGCCATCAACATGTATCGAATGTGAGTTAATTTAAAGATCAACTTTAATAGCGACTGTTAATTTAGTTGTTGAGCTTGTCTCCTAATTAGTCAATTTGAATAGCTTAAAAAAAGTTGAAAAAAAATGAAATAAATTTATGAGAATCAATTTTATTTTCAATTGTAAGCAGTTAACCATCTCGATTAGTGAATTGCTAGAATGGAAAACATGGTTTATCTTGAGTTTTAATTGAAAACAACAAGCAAGAGATTTAGTTGAAATCACTGATTCGATTTTTTTCAACTTAAATTATCAAATTAGCATTGAATTGTAAGTTTACCCAAGGATTGATTTTATAAATATATATACTATATATTATATCTAATAGTATTATAATATAATCTTAATTATAATTAAAGTGAAAACAAAGGATACTTTTTTATTTACAAAGTTTAATTGACAAGGCTAGGATTAAGGTAACCCTTTCTCAGCAATGAGAAAATGTATTCGTTGGTGTTTTTCATAGAGTCAATGTTTTAATCCATCAAAATTACTAATCCATGGAAATGAAAAATTTTCACTTTAGCAACTTAATCCAAGTAGAGCTGCTTTTAGAGCACAAAACAACTGAGAAGGTTATCCATTATCCAATTAGATGAAAGGCTCCACAATTGACATTTGAGTCACAAGATTGAAAATTAATCACTTGGAATACTGTTAATCAATTAAGGCCTTTTTAAATACAAATTCAGATCAGTTGGGACTTTTGATTAGTTGATCCAACTTTAAGACTGTTGTTTACATTTTACTTCACACAATGACAATTACAATTCAAAGATGGCTCTCCTTTTCCAATGGCGGTTTTGCTATTTTAAGCGGTAAAGTTGAGTTTGATTAATAAAGTAGACTGATTTTTTTGTTGAACAAGTTTTTTTTAAGACTAACTGAATCTTTTTTTTTAATCTGTGTTTTAGGTAATCTCTTGTAGGAATTAACAATACTAGTAATTAATGGTATTGACTAGATTATCCATTAAGTAATCTTGCAGTCTTGTTGGGTATTTTGACGGAGTGATTCAAGACAACAATTTAACAAGCAGCATTTATCCAACTTTATCGTCTTTAGACACTAACATTATGCCTTCAATCACATTAAGTTAACAGTTATTTGTCATTAATTTTTTGGGTAATTATAATACTTTGCAATCCATTTACAGGTTTATCTTTGTGCCTAATGTAATTCTGTTATTCATCCCTTGGTAACTAATCCAACGTTTCATTTTATTCCAGATAAATCAAGCTCAAACGATGATTTCTTTTCAATCTTTGGAGCATTGGATGTCGCCTTTTTATTATCACAATTGTGAATTATGATGATTCGATTATATTGTCGCCACCTCATGAAAATGGAAAGATAAAGGCGAAGCTGAACAAACAGGAAAATGGTTCCACCAAGAAATCCAATTGAGACGACCTATCAGATGGTAGAAAAGAGTAAAAAGATAATTGGTTAATATTATAAATCATACAACAGTAATACAAATTGAAAATTAACTCGGGTAAGAACCAATTTGAATTTTATCTATTTCTTTTATTGGAGATGTCCATCAACCCTACCAACAACAAAGCCAAATGAATGAATATTGTATAAGACTTATAGTTTGCTGGATTTATCTAACAATGACCAGAATACAGTTGGTTATGCATCTAAATGATAATGAGATTAGCTTTTCTGGTTAGAACAGTGAACTTAAAATTTATACACATCAACCAAGCTAAATATTTTTCAAGTCATCGATTTTTTCATCAGTCAAAAAATATTGTTGATAATATCAAAAAATAGCAAACTGACAGAGTAAATCAAGTCTCATTTAGTATCATGTGTTGAATTTCAAAAATATTTCATTTTTGATTGAGGTTGATAAACCAGAAAACTGGTCGTTGGTAAATCTATTGTCTTCATTGCGTGTCATCTGGAAAGCAGATTTTCAAGATGATTGAATTTAACCAATTTAACCGTTTTTGAAATAAACACTTTTTTTATCATTTCTTTGTCTTTTTGAACTCATTACTAGGTTTTAAGAAGCACTTTTGTCTTGTGATATCATCAAGGCGGCAAAGAAAGCGAGTCATGGTTGAAATGGAGGAGAGCTCAAAGAAGGTTAAAGAAAGTGAAACAAAGAATAAAGCAAAAGAAAGTAAACCTTTAACCGTGAAATATAATGAAAAAAAAACTGATTAAACATCAAAATTTTCATAATAGCCGTATGATATTGGAAGCGGAAACGAAATAGATGAGAGAACACAAAGTGACAGAGTTGTAACGTGCTGAGAAGTCAAGGGAATCACGGTTGAAGGATTTATGTTCACCATGTTGATGAATTTTTTTCCCTACATTGCACTGTTTTTTAACCATTTACTTTGAGTTACCCTGGTTAATAGTGTATTTCAAGATGATCATCATGTTAAGGACCATGATTATTGGCAAACAAAAGGTATCAACAGTTTAGGGACTGGGTTAATTAACATAATAAGGAGCTAACATTTTTCCCAATCTGGTTCCGCCTCAAGATAACATCAAACTGGGAATATGTTTCTTTAGTTTACCTTTAGCTTTTTCAGGTAACCTTCTAATTCACGGTAAAAGCATACAAACAGGCAAGTTTGTGTACCAATTAATTTAATCAAATGATAATGAGTGTTCTTTTTCTTCTTTTACTATCTCACCGATTTCAGGTTTATATTGAATCAATCAATTTTGGCTTCCATTTGAAACTGGCGCTTTGGATTGGGTTAAATTTTTTGCTTCTCATTGGGTTCAAAGGAAACAATTGCAATTCTCAAATGGCTTCACTAATTTGATCAGGAAAAATAATCAGGAAAGGGTTCGCCAGTTTTGCAAATGACAACTGAAAATAATTGAAACAATCAACAATACCATGGAAATAGCGTGAGATTCAACTCACAGAACATGAGATAAATAACAGTTAATGAACAGTTGATATGAAATTGGTGAAGTCAATAAATCATTCAGTGGCAAATTTCTGGTTGATTACAACTTTAACATTACCTGTTTTCAATAATTTAAAAGCTATAAATGGATGGATTAATATGAGAACCAGCAAACAAATCAATGACAATCCATATGAAATCAAATGAACAACGATACAAAAGCTTCAGCCAAGGAGAGAAAGAAAAAAAAGACAATCTTAACCTTTATATAATAATTAGCTGTTGATTATAATGCTGTGTAAGCATTTTTTCAAGGTAATATCAACTGTTGCCAAGTTATTCAAATTTACTTGACTTCATTTACTGTTACAATTTCCTGTCCTGTTGACAAGCTATTAAAGTGACAAGGAAAGCCTTAGAACAGGGAAGCCTTTAGAAGCAATACGAACTTAGGAGATCAATACATTGACGATACAATTAACTTTCAACCGGCAATAATTAAGTCAATTGTTCATCTTTTCTGTGAGAGAGAAACTCGTATTGACAGTAATTAATCATTAGAAATGTGATTGTTTTTCCTTCATTAAACCAGTTAAGTTTATTTGCCGATGATTTACCTGGTTACCTAGGATTTGTCTGATTAATTATGACGCTAATTACAGTCAATGAGAAATTAATTCATCTTAATAAACAGATGAAGCTAGATGTAGAGACAATTTGTTGATTAATATTAATCTGGTCATTAAAGTGATAATTTAGCTATTTTCTTCAGGAGGTTAATAGTTATTGATTGAATTTTCAATTCAATATTTTTTCCATTTCCTCTCTATTATAAACTTGAAACTTTTAAATTGAATGGATTAAAAAATACAAAATTACATCTGTATTAATTTTAAACCATTATAATAATACAATACTGGATTGGCCAAATATTTGCTCCAATAATCATAAAACATATAAAAATGAGGACAATATTATTAATAATCATTTCATTTTTTTCCTATCCTATAGATTCAAGCTTGCTGAACATCTTGATATTTTTCTGCTGATGTTTCGCCCAAGAAGATCACTGAGAGGAACATCTTCTGGATTAGTTTCCGTTTCACAAAGGCTTCCATGAGTGAAATCGTCTTCACCTTCACCAGACAATACCCAATAGATATTATCTTGAAAAAATTCAATTCTTTCCGGAGGATCGAAAACAGGTTGAACCAATAAAAGGCCAGTTAGTAAACCAGTAATCACAGCGGTTGCCCAGATGAAAAATAGACCAAAAAGTTGATATAAGGCCTGACTACGAGCAGAACGACCTAATCCAGGATTGACTCGATGTAAAATTACTTGAATCTCTTCAAGATCTTTTGAATTTTTGGGTGGAGCTCGAGCAGGAAGCAATTCGTACAATGCTAAGCCAAATGAATTTTCATCAGCTAAATAGGCAAAACCACTGGAGGCTAATCCAGAAATGAATGCTGGAATACCGTAAGCAGCATGCATTGAAAGAGTATCATGGATGCGTAAACGATGAAGTAAATAGGGATTTATATAGATATGAGCTGCAATTGATAGACCACCAATAAACATACCAGAGACAAAAACAGTGTAAGGATATAGCATGTAATGGCCTACAATAGATACAACTACACCACCAGCCGCCGAACCAATGCGTATATGGCGAACTGAGAAGCGATCATTTGAATCAAGAAGTGAGGAAACTGCAAAAGCTGATAAACATGAGGCTGTTACAGATATCCAAGAGTTGACAGCAAAACGATGTTTCTTATCACCAAGTGAATAGGAGCTGGTAACTGTTGGAAATGTGAGATAAGTAAATATGGTTCCTAAAAGGATTGACAGTTCCCGGTCCGAATCATAGTGTTGAGTTTTTCTTCGAGTTGCCTGAGTAAATCGACAAATTATAGCAGAAACACCTAGACCAAAGTAGACTGAAAATACATAGATAACTAATCCACCGGATTCGTCTGCAACTTGCCATAAAGATAAGATGTAATCAATTAAAGATATAATTGGAACCTCGAAAACAGCCAAGATTAAACATTGTAAAGGACTAACTTTACCCTGAAGACTTCCCAATGATAAAGTAACACCTAAACCATAATGAGCTGAGCGAAGGATTGAGTTGATTCCGAGAGTTATTTGGATTGATCGTCGTGCTTTAGATGGCTTCATTGATGAATTTGAATCAAATGGAAGTGAAGAGTGAGATTTTGGGAAATATGTTTGGCTTAGTGGAGCTTTGTGTTTGTAAGGCGATGATAAAATGGATGATAGTGAAGAAGAAGAGGAATTATCCATGGATCCATCAATCGATGATGGAGATGATAAAGATGGTGATGTGGATGAAACTGGTGAAGTTGCTGGAGCTGGTGATGAAGAGAAAAGGAAGGAGAATGTTGAAAAAGAAATGGAAGAAGAAGATGATCCAGATGTAGATGATTGTAATTTAGAAGGTGAATCTTCCCAAATTGGTGTAATTAAATGAGGCCAAAGTAAAGCCCATGAAGAGGCAAAGGTAAATGTCAATAGATTAAAGCCTAGACTTGATAACATTGTGGTTGATGAACTTGTCGATGAAAGGCCTAAACCAATTAAAGATAAAACCATGTGATCTTGAAGATGAGGTAAATATCTTTGGATTGGATTATTTTGCGGATCAAGGCCACCAAAAGCTGGAGAAACGGAGTTTAACCGATTAGATGATTCGGCTGTTTCATCGTAAACACTGAACAATGTTAAAAATATGCTAACAATCGTTTGAAACAATATTATTGTAAAACATAATTTACCCCGTTTCCACATTACACTATTAGCCTCTGTCCGGCTTCTGATCATTAGTCCATTATTATCCATGGTAAATCACAATTAATGATCAAACATTCCAATCAACCATCAAATTGTACATTCAAAGTCCAACATGATAATGTTGTTTTTCCGATGCACCATAATTACAATCAAATTTATACCAGTAAACTCAACTTGAAAATGGTTTGCAAAGATGATCCAATGTGAGAACGTCAAAAAAAATAACAACCGGATACATTAATCTCTGGGTAAAATGGCAATTACAATTATTAATTGCATTATTGAAACATTGGCTATTAAGATTTAATTGTATGCTTTAAAAATGAATAATCAATTAACCAATTTAAATAGTCACTCATTTTAAAACCTTTCTTTTCCTTTTAACCCAAGTTTATTTTGAGGTAAAAATTGATTATTCAAACGGTATTTTGAAAATGATCAAATACCTTTGATTGTCGATTTTAAACCTTTAATAGGATCAACGTTTAAATGTTTAATGTACAGTCTCATTGTTAAACTTTGATAGCTCATGATAAAATGCAAGTTGAAAAAGGTTGATAAACTATTGATTTTCATTGAACTGAACCATATTTATAAATAATCTTATCAAAGCTTTAAGAAGCAAACATTTGTCAAGTTAAGGAAATTTCAGGCTTTACTTCAACTAAAGTAACATAAGTCAATCAAATAATCAATACTTTGTATTTACTTGAATAACTAAACATAAAAGGCTGGTGAAAATCAATTTCACCCAAAAATTGAATTGATAAATCTCAATCATTTACAATTTTGATTACACACCAAAATTAAGACAGTCTCAATTGTTGAAAAATATTCAAATATTCAAGTGAATCTTGAACCCAACTATAACAGAAATGGACTAATTAACACATCAAATTGTAATCATTATGAACTTGAGTGTTAATATAATTATACTCTTATTATGGAAGAGAGTGAGAAACAGTGTTAAATGATGTTGAGTATTTATTCAATAATCATTGTGATAATAAATGATGAGCACTTTCAAGACATTCACATTATTCCGCTCAGTTTATCAGTCATTTTCATGGGAATTATCATTTCTGTATATTAGACTCATTTCAGGTTAATGTCTCATTGAACCATCATTAAATGACGATGAGCTTTGAAGGGTTTATCATCAAAATCAACAACAATCGATAATTATATTGAACCTAACATTTCAACAGTACAAGGATCAACCAAAATCAACTCAACTTGAAGGATGAAAACAAAAAAGGAATAATATTTTGAAGAAAAATTTTTCCAATCAAGTTTTTAACATGAGTTGAAGTGTTAGGTTTGGTTGAAATTATGTTCATCCTTGGCCTAATTTGTGTTCAATAATTTGGTAAAGACTTAATTTAGTTCAACAGTTATTATGATTCAACCGATCTTAATGATAGCGTAATATTTTGAGGGGCTATTGATTAATTTACTGACATTATCTGGTAGATGACAGTAATTCATTGACCAATGTTAGGTTAATGTTTACCTTTTCATCATTTTTTGGTCACTTTTTGGTAATTTAAAATTGGTTATTTGGTATTTAACTGATTATTGAATTATTAGTCAAAGGATTTTATGAATTAAACAAACAAATCTCGCATCATTAAGACAATTTAATCAAATGAGAACAAGCTAATTACAATATTTTCATCTAATGTCAACTTATACAGTGAATTTGATTGAAAATTATGAATACTATAATTTTAAGGCAATTGAATGGTCAATAATACTGATTAAATGACCAGATATTGAATAGTAATTGAATAAAATTGTTGTTAGAAGGTTAAATTACTGGAAAGCTTTGAAATATCGAAGGATCTCTGTATTGTTGTACTTGATCACGCTTCTCATTCAGATTGAATTGGATTATGATTTAACCCGAATGCTTTGTAAGCAATAATAATCTATCGATTATCCCTTCCTTATTCATGGGTTGAAGCAAGGTAAAGTTGACAATTAAAAACGATATCCATTTGTGTGAATCCTTTCACTTTATGGTTAAATCAATTGTCTTTTTTTTGAAAACAAAAAGTGTGAAAACTGAAATTAAAATTGAAAATCAGGTTAATCGGATTGATGACAATTAGGATTGCCATTTCAATTGCAAATACGTGATAATAGAAACTGTGAATTATGTGACAAATTTTCCAGCCTCGGTGTGATTTTGTTTTTGAAAACAATAAACGGTAATCAAATGAAATAAACAAAGGCCATCTAATAAACTTGAAAAAGGTGTAGTAATGGTAGGCATTTTGGGACCAACAGATCAGTTTGCTCATAGAAATCAAAGAGAAAGCTTCAAAATTGATAATCAGTGCCTTGTGTTAAAAGATATCATCTTGTAAAAACCGTTATAAGTCCTAGTTTAGTCAAGTTTGCTCATCGGTTAACATTTTGCTTCACTGTTATAAAACTCTCTTAGCCATGGCAGCATTAACAACCCTTCAATTCACTTTGATTTGGATTACTGTGGCAACTTTAACAGATTACTATGGCTCGGCGTCATTTTGGCCTACTGGATTTTACTCAAATAATCGAGATACTTCTCCTACTTCATCAGATAATTCACCAAGAGTTACTGGTATTAAATCAGTTTTGGATCGGTCGACTTGGGTAACATCAACAGCAACAATTAATCCTCCATATGCTCCACCAGCGCCTTCACAAATACCAGTCTCTCCTAGTATTGGCTCGCCCTCCACATCTGTTTCTTCACCCTCTTCTTACTCACCTCCGTCCCGATACAACCCACCGCCATCATCCACATCTTATTCGGGTAAGAAATATTGAATTCTCAATTTTGAAACAGTCTTGACTTGAACGCTTTTCTTGACAGGCAACTCTTACCCTGCGAGTGATTGGCGAAGCTATAATCAATATCCAACTCGAAACACTTATGACAGTAATTTTCCGTCAGATCCCTTAAATAACCAACAATATACCAATGCGTAAGTTAATGGCTAAATAGTGTATTTTCATGCGACTAAATAATGAATTTTTTTTGAAGGATGGTCATCGATTGTAAATATGCATCAATTTATAGACCCAGTTCTTATGGCTCATACTCTGGTTCATCATCAGCATCAGTACCACCTTTACCCTTGCTTCCACCTCCACCACCACCACAACAGCCATCATCCTCATCTTCATCATCATCGTATTCACCATCCTATTCCCCGTCATATCCTCCACCTTATTCCTCATCCTATCAACCAACTTATTCCAGCTCTAGTGGATCGACAGTGACTAGGCCATCTCCATATCCTTACGATGGCCCTCGTTATTCTGGTTATCCATGTTTTATTCCTCCAATGATTTCATCTGATTATTCAACGTACCCAGCACCATATCAATCGTTACCCTCAGCATCCGATGCCTCTCCAATTTGGTCTCCACCGCCACCATTTCCAAATTATCAACCAGTCCAATCATCACAAATTTATCCGATAATTAACCCAATGGATAGTGATCCGTCTCGGAAAAGTTGGCCCGATTCACCATACTCTGAGCAATCATCACAAGATCCTTCACTTGCGCAACAATCAGCTAGTCCAATACTTAAATCAACCCGAGCCGTTGCTGAATTGTCTGGTCCATCTGGTGTAACAGGAACCATTACTTTCAAACAAATTGTAAGCTATCCGATGTAAAATTAGATATAATAACAATAATCACTTTATTTATTTTGTTTAGGGAAACAAACCAGTTTCAATTGAAGGTAAAATAATGGGCCTAGCTTCTGGTCCACATGGTATGCATATATATGAAATGCCATTTATTGGTGGTGATTGTGTGTCTGCCGGAGATCATTACAATCCTCAGAAAACCGAACATGGAGGCAAACATGATTGGAATCGTCACATTGGAGACTTAGGAAATATTCATGCCGACTCTGATGGAGTAGCTAATTTTGAATTTACCGATCTAATGATCAGTTTGACTGGTGGATACTCAATTGTAAATCGCACAATAGGTGTAAGTTGCATTAATATAAAGCTTTAGAAGGTTCCTTAAAATTGATTAATGATAAATATTTTTACTTTCAGATTTCTGAGAAGGCTGATGATCTCGGTCGAGGAAACGATCTTCAGAGTAAAAAAGATGGAAATGCTGGATCTCCAATTGCATGTGGTATCGTTCATTTGAGTCCAGTATGAAGAATCGATTCGATTCCAGCTATTATTTGATCAAATGACGCATAAATTCGTTACTTTTATTTTCTTTCTTTTCTACTTTAGTTAAATAAATTTTATCAAAACTTTGATCAAATAAAAAAACTTGACCACTAATAAACACTGATATTTAAATTGAATTAAAATAGGTTAACCCTCAAATGCCGTTGTAATCCAAAGCTCGCTGAAAAAGTATTGGGAATCAAATATTACAGAAGAGAGAAACAAAAAATTGCTATTGGATTGATGAAATATAATAATGATGATTATCATGTTTGATGGTTAAAAGGGTGAAGAGCAAAAGCAGTTAACCAGGTTAGGTTTTGCTTCATTTGTTATCAGTTTCTGGCTGCGAGACTTGAACAAAAAAGGGATAAAAATTTGATGGTAACCATGAAATGTTTAAAGACACTTGATAATCAAGTTGATCATAATGTTGCCTACACAATCAACAATGTTGACGCCGAGTGTATTGACTTGTAAAGTCAACATGATTCAATGTTAAACAACATTTAATATACAAGGAGATAACTGGATGCTCAAAACACAAAAAATGTTTACGATCATGTTATTAACGATGACTATAAATGATGCTAAAATGAACGAAACAATTTAATTCCTGTAAGCTTTTATCTTTCCATATTATCTAGTTTAAAAGCTGTATTGATTAGGTAAAGTATAATCATGTCCATAGTAACTGAAAATCAATGAAAAGATATGTAAAAACTGACCCTGATAATGATGATGAAGGGAAGAGAAATGATTCATCTTTTTGGTCATTTCAATTGAATGTAACCAAAAAGGTTTTTAATGTAAAAAATAAACTCATTGAAACATAATACAAGAGTAATTTTTTTAATAACTGTCATTGTCAAAATTGAGATCAAACAGATTGAGATTGAATCGTTTTATGTTAATCAAGTAAACGATTTAATATTAAATTTAGTTTCTAGATCATTATGGATGATGATGATGATGATGGAGTTTATGATGATGATGATGAAAAAAAAGGTTATCTTCATGTCCATTTTGGGTAAATACATTGAAGACATTATTGTATGTTTGATCGTAATCATTAATGAGTTGACGCAAAACAAATACAACAGACGAAGCTAATCACGGTATGAAAACTTCCGCAATTAAAATTGTCGTCTTTTTTTTACCGCTGCCTTGTAATAGTCAATATAATAATGATGAACAAACCATAATTTAACTCAATTGTTACCGTTACTGGCACGCGATTTTTGTCTTTCATTTTTTCTCTCTTTTCTCTCTTCACCATCATTATCATGATTGCTATTTTTAATCAACTCCTACAGTACTTGATCTATTTGCCTTTTGTTGACATCATTTTTCATTAACGTTCCATCAACTGTATCTAAATTGAAACGTTGATTAACTGATTGTCATCAAAGTGTTAGAAGAAGAAGAGAGAAAAAAGGACAAAAATTCTGACCTGTCGATGTCCCTACATTCAACCTTTTATGAATCCTAAAATTGTCAACATGAAACAGTAATTTTTAACATCAACATGAGCATCAACTCATCTCAACAGAACTCCAATTGAAAGAGTAAATAAGAAGTTATCCTGAAAAAAGCAATAAAATGAAAGGAAAAAAGCTCAATCAATAGCAATTGTTTGATTGCAATTGATGGTAAAACAAGTTTTTTTAATGAATATGAAAAAATGTCGATTCACGTCAAACGATTTACAATTGATTAATCAATCTTTTTAGCAACAATTAGTGCTTACAATATTTATTGCAATCAATTGGTAAATTGGTCTATTGATTACTATGTGATAAGAGGTAAAATTGTATCAATCAAAATGAAAAGATGCATAAATTGTAAAAAAAGGTGAAAAAGTGACTTTCAAAGTTTGTTATTTTATTATTCAATTACATCGTCTTTTTTGTAACTACTCATCATTATCAACAGGAATACAATAACAATTGCAAATCATGAATGCATCATTTTCATTTTGATTGTAACAGTGAAATTGTTATCATCATCATAATAAACCAATGTAATCCAGGTAAACCCGGAACCAGAAAAGGTGACTGACTGTTAAGATGATAACTTGTTTAACAGGTTAGTTAAACACAAATAACGGGCCTTTTAAGTACCATAACAGGGCCATTCGGCCAATGGGCAGCACCAACAGGTAGCACAACAACACAAAAAGAGACACAGTTTTTTTTCACGGTAAAGAAGGAAAAGTAAGAAGAGAAAGAGAAAAATAAACAGTCAACTTTTTTCAGGTAAGATTGTCTGGTTTTAAGATTAAAACTGGAAAATCTTTTACTTTGACCACAATTGGAAAGGTCAGAGACACTGAGTTTACCTATTTAACACACATTGCGTTCATTGAGAAAATCTTTTCACATAAATTCTTGAGTTAGATTGTCAATTGAGATTAACAACTGAACTGTTATCAACCGGTGACAAATTGTAACCATCAGTAAACAAAATAACTTGAAAGATAAAATTGAACAAATTGAGCATTTAAAGGTCAATCAGATTGATTATCAAGTACAAAATTGATAGACAATTTGATCTTCATCCTTAATGAACATTAAAATTTCCGGTAATTGTAATAAAAGTGTAAAGTGATGATATTAATGAAACAATTTGATGAAAAACCTTTTCTAATGTTAACTGTTTATCAGTTAAGGGTCGGTCTGGAGTTGATTTACTTTGAATATTTTCAGCTGTTGGTCATAACAGTTTCACCGGACGTTTGGATGAATATTTATCTTTGAATACAATGTTGAGGAATTTCTTATCAAATTGAATTAATAATGAGATTAATTCATTTGAATGTTAATTAAATTGTTACTGGGCCTAAATGTGAACATGTGTTGAAAGCATTTAATTTGGGTTTGATTGGCAAAGGTTGAAAATTTGCATTAAAAGCTAATTAAAATTTTATAATTAGTATAACACGTTAACTGTAAAGTACTGAATATTTGAGTTTTGCTTTTAACTAGTTTTACCATTTAATTGATTTGCATATTTAAATTAATTAAAATTGTCCAATTTTCTCTAATTGTTCACTTTTACCTTTGAGAAAATTGAACAAATTAAATTTTAAAAGGTCAAGTTTGACCAAACAAGAGCAAGAAAAAAAAGCCAAATGTAAATACAAATTTACAAGGCTTTTCATTTTCTGGCTAAAACACTGATTTTGGCCATTTTTTCACCTTAAAACTTGAAATTGCTTCCTGTTGACCCTCAAAAAGTCAAGGTTTGTTTACCTTGTCAACAGCAATTAAACAAATGGTAATCCAATCTGATTGTCAATAGATTAGATTGGCAAGATTAATCTTGATAAGGTTAAAAATAGCATTTGCGATCATTCAAATTGTGATCATTGTTTTGCTTCATGATTGAGCGTTAAAATTAATTCAGTTAACTTTATCGATTATTATAATTATCAAGTTGATTGGCTTTGTGTTTCATTGTTGCCTTTCCGTGTTTACAACACGATTAATATTAATAAGCTAATTGTTGATCATCATGTTCATTGGTAGTCAGATCAAGAGGAAGGTAAGACAATTGATAACAATAGCAATTGATTATTCAATTGATCGGTCGATAACCTTTTAATCAACATTTTACAGTAACAAAAAAATTGATTCACTATTTTCATTTTGTTTTCACAATTGTACATAATATCAAAATCAACTGTCATAACCTGTGATGATAAATGTATTCACATTGAAACATTTTTCCCCTGTTTAATTTGCTTATTTTTACAGACCAATTAAATAGAGTTGATTAGAGCAATTAGAACTAATTTAGTTGACAATTTACAGGCTTGATTTGCTAAACCTGTCATGAGTGTTGATTTTATGACAAGGAAAAGGTTTAGCTTTTTTTGTGAAAAAAAGGCAAAAACAAAACAAAAATGAATGAATTATTAAACATTGGTCGTAATTACAGGAGTGGAATAGACGCATTTATTTGGTTATTACGCCAAAAAATGAATTGTTCACAGATAATCAATAGATTATTTATGATTTGTGATTTGCTTTTTTTAAGGAAAGAGTTTTTTCAGTTTTGGATTCTGGTTGATTGGGTTGCTGGTTCAACTGAAAATGTGAGTTACCAGTTTTTGGGCAAAAATTGCTATTAGAGCTGATAATCGATTGAGGTAAATTCATCTGATGGAGGTGAGTAAGGGTGGATCCATGAATAGAAGATTTGGGAACAAAGGTAATTGATGAGGTTTAAGGAGATGAAAACAAGCAAAGATTTCAGGTCAAGTTTGGAGTGAAAATGCTTTTTTTAGCTCACAGAATTGGATCTTTCAAGGAAAAAAAGAAACATGATGATGATGAGTGCGAAACCTTGATTTTCATTGAGTCTAAAAATAAATAGGAAACAGCGAAAGACTTTGAAGATGCTTTAATAATGGAAGAAGTGTTTTTTTACTAGAAAAAGGTCTTAATCATAATCATCTAATAATTATGTTCATTAAAGTCATCTGATTGGCAGTCACTTTCCATGGATTATTCAACTGTTTACATCGTGAAAGTTAACCATCAATTTTAAACTTGGTAACATATTCAGTTTTCACAAAGAAAGTGTCAATTTTCAGTTCAAATTGTACGAGGTAAAGATGGATGAGTTTATTTTTAATTTCAAACCAGCATTGGCTAATTTTTGCTGCCAATTTAATGGTAAATCGATGATCAAAAGTGAGAAAAGGTTTTAACCAGAATTTTTGTTTCGGTAACTTTAACATTGTCAATGATCAATGAAATGTCAAAAGAATCAAATGATTGATTTGAGATGAAAATTTTTACTGTAATTTTGGTCCATAGAAATGGTCAGTTGATGGTCATTAAAGATGTAATTCTTTGGTCTTTTGAAGTTTTGCAATGGACAATGGAATTGTGAAAATTATTAAAAAACAAAATTTTACTTACAAGCATTTTAGTCCAAAAGGGCCAATCAAGAAGTCCATATTTGGCTTCAAACGTTGCTCTTTCAATTAGCACATAAATTGACCAGAAAACGCAAAACATTGAAATAAGGTTAAACAGTAAATTATATAACAATTTACGTCGCTCACTGTTGGACATTTCAAGTCGTTCCCACTGATAAAATCCCCGTTGATTGAAACAAAAAAAAGAAACGGATCGATTAGTTATTGTTGTAGGGTAATTTGCATAAATTGGGTAAAATATGAAATGAGAAATGATAAGTGATCAAACTGTTTCTCTGTTAGTGTTTGGAAGCAAAGCTAAAATCAATTTGTGAAAAGATCTCATCTTTTTAAATCTCATTTTTTGTTTGATTGGCCATTGATTTGAAGGTAATGGGAATGATCAAAATTAGATTTATTTTCAATGTTTACAGTTGACATGAATGGATTGCACCCTAAGCTATTCAATTGCTGTTAAATCAAAGCTTTATGGTTTTGTCGGATTGCTGGTTGAGTGGGAATACAGAAGGGTTTACAAAAAATTGAAAAATGTTTAACTTACCTTGTAAAGTGGCTTAAATTTTACAGACATTTTGAAATGATATTTACAAAGTTCACAGTATTTATTGTTTGAAGATCGTATCCATTGTTGGAGACAATAATGATGAACATATTTTAATGAACCCGAACAGCAACAAGGTGTAATTAAGCTCAATTCAGAGATTGCATTATCTGATGAAGATGAAGTTGATGAAGTTGAAAGGGAGAAAGGTGAAGATGATGATGAATTAATCGTTAATTTGGTTTGTCCGTTAAAGAAGGAATCTGTATCATTATCACCACTGTGACAAATCCGACAAATGGGAACATCGAGTTGCAAGTTATTTACTGAAAGCTTATCCATCAACAACAAAAATTAATCAATCAAAATAAGAAATCAACAAAGAAAATAATACACAAATAGAAAATAGCAAAAAAAAAAGATTTGTGTATCAAAAATATATAGCAATAACATTAAACACTGAACCGTACATCTAAAAGTAATTTGTCTAATGTGAGTGAACCAAAAAATAAATTTGAGAGAAACATAGTTGCATCTCCCGAATGTGAGGTCACCACTTGTAAGAGAGACAAAAAGAAAGAGCGAAATGAAAAAAGCTCAATAAAAAGATTTATATTTTTATCCATTTCTTTGATCAACATCGTCAGATGGAGCTACTCTATTAGCTTCACAGTTACTATGGATACTGGTTACAGTTAACCAGTAACTATAGCAACATAACGTTGACTGTTTTTTGCCGCCAAATTTGAAAAACGAAAATTCCAGTTTCCAATTTTGTCGCTTCTAATGCCATCTACTACTTGAAAAAGAAACTTTCTCAACATTAAAATCCCGATTACTGACGATAAGAAACTAATTATTTATGATTCATTTTTAGCTTTTTATTTGAGCTTTTGTGACTTAATTGATTCTAAGTACTTTTGATGATTTTGTATTTGTATCAATTGAAAGTACATTTGCATCGCAGTTTAGAGAAACTCTTAATTAGCTCATTCATTCAAGGGAAAGCTGAATGTCTTGGTCTTGTCTGGTGGTGTTTTGACTGATAGCAGGTTGTCATTTAACACCTGAATTTCTGGTTCATATTTTAATATAGAGTCTAGTGATTATTTAATAATACACAGTCACTTGACAAGATTGTGATAAATTGGATGCAATACCATCTGGAATAATTTGAGTTAATCTATTTTGATGATTAATCTTGTCTCTAGACAACATTAATGATTTACTTTAAAAAGACATGAGACCGCTAGATGGCTGGACTGAACACAATCATGACATTAAAGATTCAAATGATGTTGAAAGTGAATGAAAACATCGATAATTATCGATACATGATGTCAAAATTTCGCGTATACTAAGATGGGTGGGTTATATATCGATACATGTTCATTCAGAAGTATCGATAACTCGAGACTCGAGTTATCGATACTTCTGAAGAATCGCGAAATTGGACAAAAGCGCCATCTCTTGTCGATGATTTGCATAATCATCATGAGCTCATTAAAAAGGTATGAACAATGTTCAGTGAACATTGAAAGAAACAAGAAATTGAATTCGCCTCTTCCTACTTCATATCCTAATTTTTCACGCCCTCTCTCGGTAATTGGCTCTATGCAGTAACTTTGTGGTTAGACTGTACGAGTTGAAATACCTGGGAAACTAGTGCTTCCCCTCTTACCTACTGTACTTTCACTGTTAAATTAATGATCAAATTTTGCTTCGAGTTTTATTGTTTCATAAAAATAGATCCGCGATAATCGACCATTCAGGTCTTTGAAAGACTGTAGTGTGTAGTTTCGATAGTCCTTTAGTCCCTTTAGTCAATTACAAAGATAACAAACCCAATCGACACAACTTATTACTCTCCAATCAACTCTACCTTTTGGTGAATCTTAAACCCAAAAATATAAGTGAAACTGCCATCTAGCGTCTGGTAATTGACTTTTTCACTTTAAAATCAGTCAGTTCTCAGAATCGATAACATGCGATTTTGCACTTGTATTGATTATGGAATTTTCATGGAATCCATTTGATTCGCGAAATTTCGTTTTGATCCAAGCTTAAGCGATTAAAAGTAATTGGGTTTCACCTCGAAACTAGACAATTCCCAGTCAAAATTGCGCCAGAATTCCATGTAAAAGGTTTATCTGGTAATATTTCATCTGATAAATCGGTGAAATAAAGTTAATCGGTGGTTGGACAACTGAATATGTTGAATGTTAAATTGACAAAACTCGAGTTATCATCTATTAGAGGGACTTTGCTGGGAGTGAAATTGCTTGGGAGGTGAAAATTTGTAATCCACTACAATAGCTGATAATTAAGGTAAATTGGTTGAAAATGAGTATTAAATTGAAGGTTAAATGTTTAATTGCGATAATTGAATAAATAGTATATAATACATCAGAGTCAGATGTTGGTTAAGTTGAGTGAAAAGAAACGGGATTGAGTTAGGTGCAAGAAAGTGAACAATAAGGTGTCTTTTTGTCTGGTTTATGGGCATAATTTTCAACCCAAATATGAAGATGATGATGATGAAAGGTGATAATGAGGATGAAACAAGATGAAGATGATAATGATGGTGATAATGGTGGTGATGAAGGAGAATCATGATGATGATGATCATGAAGATGGTGATAATACAGAGAGAAAGAGAGCAGAGAGAGAGAGACAGGGAAAGCGGGAGAGTACAAGAGAGAGAGCAAAATAGATGTAAAAGGTTTGAAATCTGGAAAATGAAGCAGAAAATGAAATGAATCATCAGTAAAATGATGATCCAAACTGACATCAATAATTAAAGGGTGTAACACTTTGCAACTGGAACAAGAGAAGAAACAAAAAAAAAGAAAAGAAATTATTATTAGACAAGATTATCTCATCATGGATTACCTGAATTTAGAGTAAAAATCTGAAAATGTGTTGACGAGTCAACATAAGGTTCAATTGTCAGTCAATAATTTTGGGTTAAACTGGACAAGGAAAAGAGTTTAATCTTTGTCAAGATTATCCTGGTTACTTGCTACTTTGAGCAGGTTCAAGTGAGTTACACCCTTAAGGTAGGTCAAGATGAGACCGGAAAATAGTCTAAGAGCTAACATTTCACCCTCTTAAGTAAACCTTTTCTTCATCATAATCTTCATCTTCACCAGTTTCATCTTCATTTTCATTTGCATTTTTCATCACATTTTAACCTTCATCAACTTCATCACTTGAATCATCATCGCAACTCTTCAACAAAAGTAGCATTGAAAGCAAATAATCAATGACCAAAGAGTAGAAAAATTTTAATCTTCAATTTATGTTTTTCATGTAAATGTTAGTTTTCAAATTAAACCCTTTCACTTGATTCAATTAGGAACTTTTGTCCTCTCAAATGCTTTTTATTTATCTCTTTATTACTCTTTGGTCAGTGATAGTTTAAGGCAAGAAAAGCCTAACAACAATTAGGTTTCTCAATCATTACTGTTGCACTTCATGATGATGACAATTTGAGGATGAATCCATTTGATATTCAACATTCATTTTAATCATTAATTTCTGTCTCTGTTTTTGTCTCAAACATTTTATGCTCTTAGTCCTTTTTATAGTCGACCAATAATCTCGACTCGTAATTTTAATTTGATGAACAAAACACAGTAAAAGGTTGATTAGTTGATTAATTTTAGTCTTTCATTTGCTATCAAAAATTTCGTTTCATCCTGTTCTTTTTTGATATTTCAATTTTCACTTTTCTGTAAATCTATTGGGATTCATGGTTAGCTTTATCATGTTCACTTGACATTAGTTTGGATGCAAAAGTAAAAGCAAGACAAAAGGGTTAATAGAGGAGATAATTTTACTCAAGTGATTTCATTGAAACATTTTCATGTTCCAAGACTAACTCAACTTTCCCAACATTATTATCATCATTATCGTCATCATCATCATCATCATCATCATCACCGTCAGAATCATCATCATGAATGGGGATTTGCTTGGGTAAAAAGGGAAAACAAAATAGGAAAAGATCAAGCAATAAGAAGAGAAAAAAAAACGGGAAAAAAGTAGCTTTTCTTGGAAAAGAGTTAACATCTATTTACTATGCGTTTGGGTTTGATTAGATGTTTAGATAGATAAAACATTCTTGCACATCGGAAATATTGAGTTAATCAATTGCTGGTTAATTGATGATTTGAATTGTTGAACAAGAAGAAAAGTGGCAAAAAAAACAAAAACAATTGACACAAAGAAGCAAAAGAAAAACGGATTTTTCAGGTTTTTTTGTTTTTAAACGGACATTATTAAAGTTGGATTATTGTTGTTGCTGTTCTTGCTGTTGCTGTTGTTTCGGTTGCTGTGCAGGTGGCTGAGGCTGGGGCTGATCTTTCCGTGGAGGCATCCTTTCATTGATCTTATCCAAACCTTTCGCCTCCTCGAAGCTTGTTATTTTGTGGTTTGGTGAGAATCCAGCCAAAGCTAAGAATAAAAGGAAACAAAAAAAAGATTAATTTCTGGTCAATAAGAGCAGCAGCACAAAATGATGGATAAACTGTTTTACCATTACGAAGAGACTCTTTGCCCTCTGAGAGAGCCCCAAGAGGCAAAGTTCCCGACGGAGTGAGACCCTTTAGTTGCAGAACACTTTCGGATTCCTCTCTGAGGACTGAAAATACTCGGGCCATTTTACCGATTGCACGAATTTTGTTGCGAATAACCTCTTTTCGAGCCGAGCTTGCCATGTTAGCTGAAAGAGGAAACAATATTTTTATTAGCAAACAATTGACACATTTTTGATTCTCTAATCAACTTAATACCTTCATCTGATCCTTCAAAGTTTTCTTCCCCTTCATGCATCAATTCATCATCTGAACAAATATTGAGTACATTGACCAGCATTTCGGTAACCTTTTCACCAACAAAAGGTAACGACCAAGTAAAAACATCCATAAAATTGGGCAACCAATATGGATGAGGTGAACAATTAAACTGCCTAATGTTCATTACATTATTTTCATATTTAAGGACAGCAGCTTTATTATTGTACACATCCAGATAATTTGGTGCACTAAATATTGTTATCAATGATGGGAAACCAGTTACGTTTGATTTACGGTACATCCGGTAACTGTAGAAATTGAAGGTAAAAAACAAAATAACAATTAGTAAATAACAAAGGAAAAGGCAACAGTTAATTTGAGGACACAAAATTTGACTCAAGTTGAAGTTACCTTCAAGGTAGATTCAATGAAAGAGTTGAACAAAAAAACACACTAAGTAATAAGCAATGTTAATAATAATGGTAATGATTATGAAGGATCTTTCCAATTTAAATATGTAAAGGTTGGTGAAAGGTTAACAAACCAATGTAAATGTGTAAAGATGGTGATAATTTGATTAGTTGTGGGTTTAAATGGTTAGATAATAAATGATCATCTCAAGTGTATGATGGAGTTAACTTGCTTGCCTATTGCCTTGGGTTATTTGTAAATATATTTTTCCTATTTTTACCATTTTTATTGATGTTATTGTCTTTTAATTGTCCTCATTAATGCTTTATTAAGTAAAACTTTTAATCAGACTTGAATTAAATAATAAAATCTGTTTCAACTGATTGTATTATTGTATAATTAGCATTTACTTTTTTTCAATGGTTTTCAAAAGTTAAACTGAAGAGCAATCTGATCGGTCAAAATTATGAAAAGTAGCTTTAGATTTCACCAGGAAATATCTTTAACCAGAAAACATAAAGACGCGATAATTTCATTTTTTGATGAAAAAATGAAAAATTTCATCGGCAATGCAGAAGCAATCAATACATTATGTTATCAAAATACTTCGAGCAATTTTATTCTGTTAGTGTGAAGCTTGCTCAATTGCTCCAACGCATTATGTATTTGATTTAGTTAATGTTAAGAGTTTCCATTCAAGCGATCATTTCGCCGGCTTTAGCACTTTTCATGCAGTTAAGGTTCGACTGAAATTTTCTTGAAATAAAATTTTAAAGAATCACTGACTTACAAATACAATGAGACTAAATTTTAACTAAAATCAACTGTAAACGTCGACTCAAAGCGTCCTCACAATCAAGTGTCGCATCTCTGAATATTTTTCATCATAAATCGGTTCTACAACTGCGGTCATCTTTAAACTTGAGATTGTCTCAGCGAATCTGAAGATTTTTGCAAATCTAGCAAAAAAGTTGATCTCGATAATAAAATCAACTATGAAATTGACAGTTTAACGTCCATTTAAACATTCGATGAGTGAATTTGGACATTTTAAAATTCATTTGAGATTTGATTGAAATCGTAAAATGATATCAATCAATGTAATTAACTTCTATTGTTGATTCAATCAATAAGTAAATGAAATAATCTAGATAATTTGATATCTTTTCAATTCTCGTAGTTGATTTCATCATCTAGTTTCTATTTCTTTGCCTTTGATAGTCAAGTTGTCCTAAATTGTTAGATTGAGACAAAAATTACAGCTTAACCCACGCTGTTTATAAAAGCACAGATATTATATATAAACATTTAAACAGCTGACTGATGACTGATGACCTAGAAATAGTCACAATTGGATCGATAAAAACTCTTGTTTGGTTATTGTCATGGAAACTTTAAATCATTTATATTGAACAGACTCAAGAGGAACCAGAAGATAAGGTAATCAAGAGCATTCAGGAAAGTGGAATGATGATAATGAAGAGAAAAGAGTAAAAAGGTTATGATGATGAAGAGTGAAAGGAACCCAAAAAAAGAGTGAAAGATCGATGTTTAATCATACAAATTAAGGTCGTTTTCATCTGAATTTTCAGTAAACTAATCAACTAGATGAGTTTGAGTGTAACTGCTTTTTGTGTACTTTTGTTTCACTCATTGTAATATTTAGCTCATCTTCATTTCATCGTTCTTTCATCATCCCCATCATCATTACCATCATCATTAATTTCAACCTTTTCATTTCAACTACTTTACAGTTTCTTTTTTCATGCCTCAAGCAATTCAATTTTGTTGCACTGTTTGGTTAAACAATCAACTCAAAAATTAACTATTTTTTGTCTCAATCAATTAAACATTTAGATTAAACATTGTTAGTTACAATTTATCAGTATTATTCAAATGTACCAAAATAAGTAAAATTAATGATAACCCAATTTGGTTTGATCCAATGAATCAATAAGGGAAAGTCAATTTTAGTTGGTAAATTAACTTTTCACTTTGATCCACAAAATTTCACTGACGAGTCCAAAAAATTGAAACAAACTGTTAATACGACGATAAAGATATAAATAAAATTGTGGTTTCATCAACATTTTATTGAAGCATTAGTTGGTTGTGCAAAAAAAGGTTACAATTGCTATTGAAATGGGAAAAAAAGTCGCCAAGGTAAATGATATTCTTGGATGAAAAAAGGTACATCTGAAGAGACTGGGAAAAAATTTCAAGTTGACAACCCTTTTTTGCTTTTTTATGCTTTTACAATCAAACCAATAACTGAAACTGACAAGTTTAACTTTAAAAATTTACTTGTAAAATATTATTTCAAACATTTTCCTCTTTCATAACATGATCAAGTTGAGCAATGATAACTTAAAGTCCAGATTTTTTCATTCAATTCACTAGTCAGTGTGAATGAGCAAAGATTGTAATCAATCAATTTTAACATTTCACTTCAAAACCTTTTTAATTTCACTGTTAAAACATAATACAAGTTGAATCATGAAAACTTGAAGCAAGGCGAAATCTTAGTTATCAATAATTTGGCATAAATTTTGCTCAATTTCATGAAAAATAGATTCAAATCTCTCCTGTAATTCGAATCGTAATTTTTTGAATTCGTTTTCGAATTTTGATGAAGAATTGTAAATAAAAATGAGAAGAAAACTGAATTTTCAATAAGGAATGAAAGGGAAAATTGTATTCAATTTCATTCGTTGATTCCAAAGTGAACTTAGTTATTCTCAAAAAGGTTTACAAGTTATTTTCAAGTGAAAGCAACATGAGCTTTTACTCAATCAATTTGAAATTTTCTTGAGCGAATGTGAATAATATTTTAGAAAAAAAAGTCTGAACTTCAAGCTGAAGATTGATTCGAAAATTTGATTGAAAAGTTTGTTAATTTGTTTCATCATTTGTAGTGATTTTCAATGTCAACAAATTGTGATTATCATGAATGAAAATGAATTTGTTTACTGTTTAATAAAATAAACATAAGAGGCCAATAATGAGGACTTTTTTTGGTTATAAACACAAAATAGGAAAACAAAAATGGGTTAACAATAGAAACATCCGGATATTTTGTTTTCAATCCCTTTTGGGTTTTCAAATGAAGCAACTTTGAGTTTCCGTTGACCGGTCAACCAAAGGAAAGGATAACATTAAAAATGATGTCAACCTTGGGATAAACTGAAAAACGGAACTTGATGATGGAAGAAGATGCAAGATGATAATGGTAAAGAAAGAAGGAAAAGATTGCAAGATTGATTCATTATCAACACAAAGCAATTCAATTTTTGATTCATTTGCAATGAAAGGACAATCAATTGACCCTTATTATCAATTTCATCAATTTAGATGAACAGAAGAAGGCAAAAATTGAAACTTTTATCCAATTTAAGGTTATAATGGAAAGGCTAATCTTTACAGTTTTACTGATGGAAATGTAATATTGCATTAGACGTCTTAATGTATTACTTTATCAACAGGTCATTTGATACTTTAATATGAGCTGTTGGTGTTGATCATCATGATTATGGTAATGTTGATACTTTTGTTGCTGTTTGATTAGTTGAAAATAATGATACAAATCAATGAAGGTTAATAATCACCTGGTGTGAGTAAGTCAATATAAGCAACTCGCTTTGACTTTTAATGTTTGCAAGTGTGCAATGTTGGTAATGGAAAGGTTTAAATGTGAATTAGGTAAGAATGAAATATTGCTCATTCTTATCATGATGATCAGGATGAAAAAGTAATTTCATGATCAGTTTATTGAATCCATTTACCATCAATAATGGCTAAATTTCAAATTGTTTGATCAGCCTGAAAGGCTTTGGGCAAATAAAGGTTTGTTGTTGTTTTCAAAGGTAAAAATCTGGACAAATTAAAAGGCAATTTTGTGATGGAAACAAGAGATATTATTATTGAAATGATTGATTTTGATAGGAATCAATAAGGAAAACACCGATAATGAAATTCCCATAATTAATGATGAGGAATAGCCATTATGATGATGTAAATAATGAGAATTGAGTTGATGTTGGAAATTGAAAAAGTTCATTTCTTTATGGCAAAATAATGTTACAATTAAAGTTGACTGGAAATGGTTGGAGTTTATATCAGTTTAACTGGGAGGTCATTAAGGATGATAGTGTCTGGGATTGAGTTGTCGTTTCATTCGTTCATTAGTGATTCATCTTAGATTCAACAGATTATTCATTTATTGAACCTTTTTGAATAAAAGTGTCGGAACATTTCAACTTGTAAATTATACTTGTAAGCTTATAACTACAAAACAATGGTGAATTAAGCCAATTGCATTGCCAAAATTGCTCAATGCTCTAAATTATATCAAATAAAATAACAACGTGAGCTGAATTTTTGTTCAACTTTAATCGCCAAACTCAAGACAAAAATAACTCCAAATAAGACATTAATCTATGGAAATATTTGCAGAAGAGTTAACTCAATTTGGTGATAAAGTCAAGGCAAAGTGCCATTGATGCAATGAAGTAGAGTCCCTAAGAAATGGTGGCAATGAACATAAATTCAATTTTTCAGGGAAAATTATTACTTAATCGATAAATAGAATTTCCAGTTTTTAAAACTCTAATTATTCCATTTTTAGAAACTTTCAACAATCGAACACTTTTCATTAGATCAGTTTTCGTCTTCTCGAATTCGAGGTCATTTTCGCAAACCAGTAAAAAAGCAAAAATAAGCTTTGTTACTCAAAATTGCAAAATTTTTGCCAGAGTGAAATGACTCTTTTTGAGATCGCGTTTGACCTTATTTGGCATTTATATGAGCAAATAATGAATCTAATTGTAATTTTGATTACCAATCGTGCAGCCACTGACATTGAAAGTGGATATTTGTATGAAAATTGAAATATGATGAA